GCAAGAGCAGAACATGCGGCTAAACCAGCAGCTGCGTGAGAAGGATGACGCCAACTTCAAGCTGATGTCGGAGCGCATCAAGTCCAACCAGATTCACAAGCTCCTGCGGGAGGAGAAGGAAGAACTGGCCGAGCAGGTGCTGGCCCTCAAGTCTCAGGTAGGCAGCCAGCCCTCCACCACCACCACCACCACCACCACCACCACCACCACCACCAGGAAGAGGCCACTAAATGTAGGCGGCTCCCGGAATACGTGCCAATCCCTTGCGCCTCCGGTTGCTTTCCTCAGGTGGACACCCAGCTCTTAGTCGTGCAGAAGCTGGAGGAGAAGGAACGGGTCCTGCAGGGCAATCTGGGCACCGTGGAGAAAGAGCTCACTTTACGCAGCCAGGCCCTGGAGCTCAACAAGAGGAAGGTGAGGAGCCGGCGTGGGAGCTGCCAAGTTAGGAAGCGAGTCTGGGCCTCGGATGGACCCGTGACTCCCGATGAGAATCCCTAATTAATTTTTTTTTTTTTAAAAAAAAAAGTAGGAAAAAAGGACAGCCCTCGAAATCGGATTCTGATTGACGGGACTCTCACGGGGCGCTTTCACAGCCGGGGATGATGGGGGCGTCGTTTAGATGTTGGTGCGGATCGGGTTTGGAACGCCATGTTCTGCTTGCAGGCGGTGGAGGCGGCCCAGCTGGCAGAAGACCTGAAGGTGCAGGTGGAGCACGTGCAAACTAAGCTGAAGGAGATCCAGACCTTCATGGCTGAGAACAGGGCGGCCAAGGAGAAGGAGTCTTTCAACCTCAAAAGAGCTCAGGTGCGAAGGAGGGAAGGGGGAGGACAGGACCGGTCAAACAGGCCGTTAGATCTCATGGCTTCAGGGAGATGCTCCTGAGGAGGCAGCCATGGTTTCCCTCCCTCTCTCTCTCTCTCTCTCTCTCTCTCTCTCTCTCTCTCTCTCTCTCTCTCTCTCTCTCTCTCTCTCTCTCTCTCTCTCTCTCTCTCTCTCTCTCTCTCTCTCTGTGTGTGTGTGTGTTTGTGTGTGTGTGTGGTTTCCATCCTGGAGCTTGTTAGTGGATTTATTTATTTTATTTTATTTATTTATTTTTAAAATTTATAAGCCGCCCCATTCCCGAAGGACTCTGGGCGACTAACAATAAAAAACACATAAAACATAACAGAACAAACAATGCAAAGACAGTCATCCAGGGGTCAGGTTTTATAAACCCCAGGCCTGCCGGAAAAGCCAGGTCTTAAGTAGCTTACAGAAGACCAACAGGGTGGGAGCGGTCCTAATCTCCGGGGGGAGCTGATTCCAAAGCGTGGGCGCCATCATAGAGAAGGCCCTCCTCCGCGGCCCCGCCAAATGGCACTGCTGGGCCGACGGGGCCTGAAGGAGGCCCAGCCTGTGGGATCTAACCGGACATAGGGGACTATGAGATAGTAGGCAGTCTCGCAAATAGCCTGGCCCTGAGCCATATAGGGCTTTAAAGGTAATGACCAACACCTTGAATTGGACCCGGAGACCAATAGGCAACCAGTGCAGCTCACGGAGGATAGGTGTAGCGTGGGTGTATCGAGGAGCACCCACTATCACTCGCGCAGCTGCATTCTGGACCAACTGCAGTCTCCGAATACTTTTCAAGGGTAGCCCCATGTAGAGCGCGTTGCAGTAGTCCAAACGTGAGGTGAGAAGGGCGTGAGTGACTGTAAGGAGAGCCTCCCAGTCCAGGTAGGGTCACAACTGGTGCAACAGGCGAAGTTGTGCAAAGGTCCTCCTAGCCACAGCCGTCAATTGATGTTCCAAATTCAGCTGTGGATCAACATCCCACCCTTATCCATTCATCTTCTGGTTCCTTGTTTACCCGGGTTCCCAACTCCTTGTTAATCTTAAATGTTTTTCTAATACTATAATGTTTGTTTATCCTTGTTTTATGCTGTTGTGCGCCATCCAGTCACTTGATTGAGATGGCCAGCCTATAAATGCAATAAACAAACAAGCAAACCAATAAATGGTACCTCTCCCCCCTCCCGCTTCCCTTCCCCTCCCCGACTCATTGATGTGTCTGCTGTTCCCAGGAGGAGATATCTCGCCTTCGGCGCAAACTGGAAAAACAGCGCAAAGTGGAGGTGTATGCAGATGCTGATGAGATCCTACAGGAGGAGATCAAGGAGTACAAGGTGAGGAGAGCAGGGGAAGGAGGTTTGTAAATTAAGGGAAGCTCTCGCTGATGCCCCAGCCCCCTCACGCTGCGGTCTGTGCACACCCTCAGGCTAAGCTCACCTGTCCCTGCTGCAACACGCGCAAGAAGGACGCCGTTCTCACCAAATGCTTCCACGTCTTCTGCTTCGACTGCGTCAAGACCCGCTACGACACCCGCCAGCGGAAATGCCCCAAGTGCAATGCTGCCTTTGGTGCCAATGACTTCCACCGGATCTACATCAGCTGAGCAGCTGGCCCCGTTTCCCCTAACTTGCCCTCCCATCCATGGACTACCGGGGTGGGTGGGTGGGTGAGTGAGCGGGTGGGTCTCGTGGTTTACCTTTTCAAGACCAGCCTTAGATCCACCAGAACTTGTTCCAGCTTTTTCGTTGGCTCCAGTCTGGGGATCCCTTCATAGTCATCTAAGGTATTCCTGGGGTCCGTGTTCAAGTGGATCCCTTTCCCCAAAGTGCCCCCTCTCTTCCTGCTGGGAACCCTTCTGAGACTGCTCACAGGTTTTCTTTTGGGTAACGTTGGATCCTTTCCCCGGATCCTGAAGAACTCGCTCCATTGCGCTTTCCTTCCTTTTAGCCTTTGCTGAAGAGGCTCCTCCAACTTGCCTTGGGATTCGGTGGTTTCTCTTCTAGCGTTTTGCAGATTTAACACAGGATCCTCAATCGCTGGCTGCTGGCAGCAGTCACGCAGTTGTAATGCCCCCTCTTGAAAATGGCATTTCTAATTTTTAAGAATTTCAAGAACTGCTTGAGTGTTTTGAAAATAAATGCAGAGGTGGTCTGCTCCTGCAAGTTTCCTCTCTGTTCCTCTGAACCTAAGTATGTCTGTTTTATTGGTGCACCAATAAAATAATTGGAGAATTATTTGTGTACAAAACTATAAACAGCTTTAGCTAAGGCAACTCTGTGGAGCAGAAGAGCAGTATTTGCAGCCAATACAGTAATTTATTAACATGCAATTGCAGAAGTACAATACAAAAATTATAATTAATATTCCTGGGACAAGGAACTCTAAAACACACAATCACCAAATCCTTCTAGGACCAAATTTGTATGAAATCCAGAAGGCCAGGAGCTATCCTTGACTCAGAAGCAGGGAGTGGAGGGAGAAGGGGCATCATGTTCTGAAAGAACACGTAGAGGCATGGGTATCTTCTGCAATTTCTTGGGGTAAGAGCCCCCCTCTTAACCACACTAGCTGTCTGGGTAAGGGAAAGATGGTGAGGATGGTATTTAAGGGGAGCCATTCCTGAAGACCATAGAGAGACCTAGTGAGTGAGACAATTTTTGTGTGTGTGTGTGTGTGTAGGTGTTTTGTTTAGCAATGCAAATCATAGGTAGGAGGGAAAAAGAGCAAGGTCTACTAGCACTCTGGAATAAGATGACTGCATTTATTCATTTTATGTATAGCCTGTATTTGTTCAGAAGCTGCATACCCAGCACTCCCTATTTTTGCAGAATCCAGTCTGGATTCGGATTTGTGCTGGAGCCCATCCTCAGGGAACTTATATATGTTAGACATTCCGTTAGAAGTTCCCCAAGGAAGGGCTCTAGCACAAGTCCGAAAGCTTGGAAGACTAAACCTCTGGTCCAGTGGTTCTCAATCTGTAGGTCGGGACCCCATTTGGGGTTGAATGACCACTTCACGGGGGTCGCCAAACAACACAGTCCGCCATTTCCCCCCCCCCCTTTTCCTTAGCTGTGCTACTCCCTTTTATTCTATTGGCTTTTGAAAGCCAATAGAATAGACTCTCTTGAATAGAGTCTAATTCTATTGGCTTTCAAAAGCCAATAGGAATTGTCCAGGCTGTCTCTGCCCTGCTGAGCCCGCCAAAAGTCCCATTCTGCAAACGGTGCTGCACCAGTTGAGTAGTCCTCGACTTACGACCGGTTGAGTAGTCCTCGACTTACGACCGGTTGGGAGTCGCGGCATTAAAAAGGTTGAGAACCACTCCCAGTGATGGACCCAGATTGGATCCTGCAACATTATGCTGGGACACGTATATTTGCCTTCACTCCCCATTTTTCCCTGCAACAATAACCCTGTGAGATAGGTTTAGCTACAACAAACAAAAACACAATTTTCTTAATGTCACCCAGTGAATTTTGATGGATGAAGGGGGATTTGAACAAGGTCTCCTGCTCCAGCTCCAGCACCAGCACTATATCAGCCCAGTGGCTTAAATGTTAGCAAAGAGGACATATTTTGGAGTTGGTAAAAAAAAAAAAAAAAAAATCAGAAAAAGGTGCTTGAATAGCAGGATTAACAACTTTTTCTAATGAGCATATAGCTTCTACCTCATTTTTGTAGGACTTCAGTTTCAGTTTGCTCCACTTCAGATCTGTGTTCACTTAATTGATGCTTATTAGATTTTTTTTTTTTATAGTAGGCTTATTTTATCTGGGAATTTCTGAGATCCTCAAAGGCACTCAAGTATTTTAAATGCAAAGTGGCAATATTTTTCTTTGCTGTAGCATCTATTAGGGATGTTTAATGCATTCACTTGAACAGAGTTTTTTTTCCTTTACTCTCAATCTTGATCCGTAAAACACATCTGTAGCTATGAAAGAAAAATTATAGAGAAATGTGAAGTTGTAATTGAAGTTTTTCAACTAAATTAAACCTAAACCTAAACCTAAACCTGGCTGAGGAATTCTGGGAGTTGAATTCCACAAGTCATAAAAGGCCAATTTTGAAGACCCCTGAGTCCTAAACGGATGGGCAGACGACTACATTTCCCAGAGATCTCTAAAAGAAGAAGGTGCGACAATGAAAGGAAGCCGGGTTTGCAATTTGGCCATTTTCTTTGGTTCCCCCTGCTGGACGAAAACAGCGTTTATAGTCGGTCCCCGCTGGAGACGCTTTTGTGGCTACATTTCTGCCTTAAAGACGTGGCTAAATGTCTCCTTAGGGAAAGGGAACCGGGTTGTTTGGCTATATTCTGGGTTCCCAACTCAAATCCAGGCAGGAAAGACGCGGACGGTCATCATCATCCTTTCTGCAAAGGTCTTTCGCTTCTTGTCTTTCACGATTCTTTGGGAAACCGACATTTAACGTGCAAAACTTTCAGGGCTTAGGGGGTGGAGGAAGCTATTGCAAGCAATGTATTTGAATGCATTTTACTGTGCACTTCTTTACATTTATGGAAGTCAGTGGGTCTCATGATTAGATAAATAGATTTAGAATGACTGGATGAAACCTTTAGAGACACGTCATTAATATGTTTTTACTTAAATGGAGTTCTAAAGATCGCATAGCGCTTAGATTTATATACGGCTTGATGGTGTTTTGCAGCCCTCTCTAATCAGTTTATAGAGTCGGTATGTGGGATATCTTTCCACCACATTAAAGCCTGAGTCTTCACAAAAGCGTGCTTGTTGACGGAGGATGTGTGCGTTCAAAAACCAGATGCTGGAAACGCCGGATTGTGTTGAATAGTGTAATTGTTGCATTGTTCGTGCACTACCTTGTTTGTGCACTACCTATAGACTAAGTGTGATCTTTTAGGGGTGGCTAAAGTACAACTTCTAGCAGTTCTCTGACAATATGACCAACGGTGAAGGATGCAGCAACACAAGCATATGCTGTTCAACTTCAGCAACTTTAAAATATGTGCACTACAACTCCCAGAATTCTCTAGCCAGGCTAAGGAGTTCTGGGAATTGAAGTCCATACATCTTAAGATTGCTGAGATTTAGAAACACTGTTCTGCTTATTTTCTGCTTCTCCTTCCCTGTTGTAAAAAATGGGTGCAGCCAGGAGCATACCATTTCTACCATTAAATAGGTAGAAAATTATCCAATTAAAGGCTTTTGGGAAGATTGACCACAAGCAGCAAGTTTTTAACTTTTATTTATTTATTTGATTTATATGGCCACTCATCTCTGACTCTATATGCCTAACAATATTAAAAAGTAAATAAAAACAAATATATAGACATGTGCACACTAGATATGTGGGTATCTAGATATGTTTATGTACGAGGGCAATTAGGAAATAAACCTCCGTTTGAGCATGTGCGAGAAATAGGCGAGGTAGTGACGCCCGTCCTATGGCGCCGTGTGTAATAGTTCAGTAGGCAGTGAGGAGTGGAAAGAGAAGGTTGTATTGCAGTTGACTTGTCTGCTAGATCAATGGAAAATGAATGCTGCCATAGAAAATCCCGCCAAATGTGAAGTGCGTGCAGTAATATGATTCGTGTATGCGAAAAAACTTTCAGCAGCTGCGATTCATTGGGAACTATGTAATGTTTATGGACCAAATGTGATGAGTGAAGGTGTCGTACATCAGTGGTGTCGCATGTTTAAAGATGGACGAACTGACGTGCACGATGAGTCAAGAAGTGGCCGCCCTCTCTGTAGTCAGCGCTGAACTCGTGCAGGAAGTTGACAAAAGGTTGGTGAAGTCCGTTGGTTCTCGATATCTGCTCGCCCGCACACCGCTAGACGCACCCAAGAACCTTTGAAGCAGTTCCGTTGGGATGTTTTTGATCACCCCCTCCCATAGCCCAGATTTGGCACTGACCAACTACCCTCTCTTCAGGCACATGAAACAGTGGCTTGTGTCGCCCTGCTTTGACAATGACAGTGTGCTTCAGGATGCTGTTATAGGGTGGCTTCATTCCCAGGTGGGAGATTTTTTTTTGTAGAAGGAATTTCAAAACTTGTAAGACGTTGTGACAAGTGCCTCAACTTGAACGGTGATTATGTCGAAAAGTAACGTAATGTTGCAGTTTTCTAATGTGTATAATATATCTGCCAGTCTCTGTCATTGATAACCAGACGGAGGTTTATTTTCTAATTGCCCTCATATATTTATGCAGACTTTCCAGATTGCTTGAGTGAGGATTGCTGTTGGAGAGGATCTTGAAAACTATTGTCTTGCATGATCTAGTTAGGCAAAGATCACATTTTTTTTTTCTGAATTACAGTGGCACTTGATTAATGCTGCATATCTTTAAAAGTTCAGGCACAGTCATGACTGACTTGGAGATTCAGACACTTTGCACGGAAAGTTATGGCTCTCAATTTGCTCGGCGTTACCAGGCCTTGCCTAATGGAAAGCTAAACTCTGTGACAGACGCCTCTAAAGACTGGTACCTTAATTCATTTCATCGTATCTTCAAGGTGAGTAAACTGTTCTGGTTTTAAAAAGGTTTAGATCAGAGTTTCCTAACCTTGGCAGCTTTAAGCCACATGGACTTCAATTTCCATGCTGGCTGGGGAATTCTGGGAGTTGAAGTCCACACGTCTGTAAAGTTGCAGAGGTTTGGAAACCTTGGTTTAGAGCAGGGGTCTTCAAATTTGGCCCTTTTATGACTTGTGGACTTCAACTCCCAGAATTCCTCAGCCAGACACGCTGGCTGAGGAATTCTGGGAGTTGAAGTCCACAAGTCATAAAAGGGCCAAGTTTGAAGACCCCTGGTTTAGAGTTTAGAGAGCTACTTGACGGTGAGGGATGCACAAATGATGATTAATTAAAAACAGATACAGTAGATCTGATTCTCCCCAGCCATACTTCTAATAATTTTCTCGTTGTGCTCCAAAGAATCTTACAACTTCACAACTTTTTTTTAGAGGTCTGTGACTGAAAGCAAGTCATTGCTTTCAGAAGTCCCAAGTTCTCAGGTTGCACAACTGTAAGTCAAATAATTATTTTACAATCTTGATGAATATGGCCAGGGGTTCTCCCCATCTAAACATGGATGCTGATGAGTTGAGACACCCTTTCCTTCTGGACTCGCATTGGCTGTAGGATTTGTGAGGACCCTTGCTGGGCCAATGGCAGGTGAGCTAGAGCAGGGCTTTTCAACTTTTTTACCCATTGTACCACTTTTAGGATATGGCAATATCTGAGTACCACCAATCGCCTAGCAAGGTGTCAAAAACTTGATGACCAAAAAAAAAAAAAAAAAAGGAAAAAAGTGATAAAGTACAGGCAGTCCTTGACTTACAACAGTTCACTTATTTGAAGTTACAATGGCACTGAAAAAAATGCCCCCCAAGGCACAGCTGAGCAAGACACCCGCCTGCCCGCCCGGTGGCGCTCTTCCTCCTGTCCGAGTTTTCATTGTTGTGAGCATTTCTGTTGAGGATTGGCAGCGGGGGTGGGGTGAGGGAGTGTTTGGTTTTTATTCCCCCCGTCTGCTGTGTGGTTGCAGCAGGTTTTGGTCACTTCACATGATCCTGGGACACTGTGACCGTCATAAATATGAATCAGTTGCCAAGCATCTGAATGTAAATCACAAGATTCTGGAGATGCAGTTGATCGGCACTTCTTCAGGGCTCAGCAGAAGCACCAGGATAAGTGCCGAGCTCCAGCTGGAGCCTGGCGCTGATCCTGGTGCTTCCACTGAGCCCTGACAGTCCCAAAGAAGCACTGATCCTGGCAATTCTGCTGAGCCGACAGCCCTTCAGCTCCAGCCATCTCTCGCTCAGGCTTGTGTGGTGCTGCCACCGGTTCAACTCATTCCCCGTTACCACTTTTCTAAGATGGTCGCGTACCACCTGCCAGGTGCCAATGTACCACAAGTGGTACCACTGGTTGAAAAGCCCTGAGCTAGAGTACCAAGTACCAGAAATCAATCAGTAAAGCGCTTCATTGGGGAAGAGAATGCAAGCAGATTGGCAAAAATGAGAGGGGATCCATGGGCAGAAGTTGGGGAGATCCATGGGCTCAGAAGGAAGAAGGTGCTCACCCTTTCTCTTTCCTGCAGTCCATCTTCCTGCCCCAAGGTTATCCTGAGAGTGTAAGCACGGACTACCTCGCCTACCAGTTCTGGGACACCATCCAGGTGAGAGAGAGAGATTCCTTCCTGAGGGGCAGGGCTGCTCTCTTTCCATGGGATCCATGAAGCTCAACCCTTCCTTCTCTTCTCATACAGAAAGGCTGCTTCTCTGTTTTGGGATCTGTAGAAGAGCAATTTTTTGAACAGAGGGCTTGTTTTGACGGGATCTTTGGGTATGTGGGTTTTGGGGGTCTGTGAGCTAAGAGGAGCCCCAGGCGATGAAGGCAGAACACGAAGCAATGGATGGAAACTAATCCAAGAGAGAAGCAACCTAGAACTAAGGAGAAATTTCCTGACTGTGAGGACAATTAATCAGTGGAACAGCTGGCCTTTGGAGGTTGTGGGTGCACCATCATTAGATATTTTTTAAAAAGAGATGGGACAACCACTGGTCTGAAGTGATGTAGGGCAGGGCTTTTCAACCTTTTCACCCATTGTACCACTTTTAGGATATGGCAATATCTGAGTACCACCAGTCACCTAGCAAGGTGTCAAAAACCCCCCCAAAAGGAAAAAAAGTAATAAAGTATAGGTAGTCCTCGCTTAGTGAGTGTTCGAAGTTACAATGGCACTGAAAAAAGTGCCCCCCAAGCCATAGCCGAGCAAGACACCTGCCTGCCCACCTGGCAGTGCTTTTCCTTTTGTCCGAGGTTTTTATTGTTGTGAGCATTTCTGTTGAGGATTGGCAGTGGTTGCAGCAGGTTTTGGTCACTTCACATGAACCTGGGACACTGTGACCGTCATAAATATGAATCAGTTGCCAAGCATCTGAATGTAAATCACAAGACCCTGGAGATGCTGCAACATTCCAGCTGATCGGCGCTTCTTCAGGGCTCAGCAGAAGCGCCAGGATCAGTGTTGAGCTCCAGCTGGAGCCTGGCACTGATCCTGGCACTTCCACTGAGCCCTGACAGCCCTGCAGCTCCAGCCATCTCTCTCAGGCTTGTGCGATGCTTCCACCGGTTCAGCTCATTCCTCTCCCCCACTACCACTTTTCTAGGATGGTCGCATACCACCTGCCAGGTACCAATGTACCACAGGTGGTACCCATACCACTGGTTGAAAAGCCCTGCCCTAGATTGCCCCCCCTTGCCATTAATAGCCACTCTCTTTTAGCTTCAGGAGGGAGATCATAGTTCTCTATCTTATAAATTATAAATGCTAACTAATACATGATTTTTGACAGTGCGGGACCTGAAGCCTGAGTGGCTAATGGCAGTGCCTCTGCTTATTAGCAACAGGAATAGCCCTTAGACTTATATATCAGCGCTGCTTTCCAGCTGATTGGTGCTTCTTCAGGGCTCAGCAGAAGTACCAGGATCAGTGCCGAGCTCCAGCTGGAGCCTGGCGCTAATCCTGGTGCTTCCACTGAGCCCTGGCAGCCCCAAAGAAGCGCTGATCAGCTGGAAAGCAGCACTGATCCTGGCACTTCCGCTGACCTCTGACAGCCCTGCAGCTCCAGCCATCTCTCGCTCAGGCTTGTGCAGTGCTGCCACCGGTTCAGCTCATTCCCCTCCCCCGTTACCACTTTTCTAGGATGGTCACGTACCACCTGCCAGGTGCCAATGTACCACAGGTGGTATCCATACCACTGGTTGAAAAGCCCTGATGTAGGATCTCCTGCTTGAGCAGGGGGTCTGTTATTCTGGTGATGAACTGGGCCCAGAAGGTTCCTTATCCTGTTCTAACTGTTGCCCTTCCTCTCTTCCTCTGCATCCCCCATCAACCTGCAGGCCTTCGCAAGCAGCATCACAGGGACACTGGCCACCCAGGCAGTGCTGAAGGGGGTGGGGGTCGGGGATGAGACCTCCACCGTCGCAGCTGCCGCCGTCACATGGATTCTGAAAGGTGGGCCTTGCTTGAATTTCTCTCGCCCTCCTCTTTTCATGGTGGAAGGCCTTTCTTCACCAGCTTCCTCACTTGTATTCTGGTGCTGCTTCCGTTGACAAGTCCTACTTTTTGTGCCACTAGACACCCCGCCCCCCAGTCCGGAGACCTTCACCTCTTTGTCCCTCCTAATCCTCACCCAGAGTCCTGGGCTCCCAAGGCTGTAGTTTAATAACTCTTCCTTGCAGCTTCCTTGAATCTAAACTCAACACAAAATTAGTGTAATGGCTTCTCCAACATTCATCATGGTTTGTTTTAATGCTTGTGTACTTTTCAGCAAGCCAATGTAACCTAAGTCCTACACCCTGCTTTACGAGCAAGTATGTTCACATAAAACATTAAGCCGCGAACATTACAGCTTTATAAACAATTATGTCTACTGTGCACCATTGTTAAACAAAAGTCAGAAGATTTCATTACGAGGTAGTGAATTCTTGTGAATTCAGCTTGAATTTGGTGGTGTTTGAAATAGTAAATAGTTAATCCTTCACAAATGTTAAATCCAGAAGTTGGTCACTGCATAATTTGTCAGACAAATGACACACAAAAATGATTAAATTTATCTACCAGCCATCTCACTTTTGAAGCAACTCTGGGATTATTGTGCCATTTACATGATGATTATTTTATTATTTTATTGATTAAATTGATTTCTACTGCTATATTCTCGTAGATGTGACTCTGGATGGCTCCCAGCACCTTAAAAACTATAAGACCAATATCCATGAAACTTTATGCAAAGCACATAAAATACTTTGAAAATTTGGCTTCTTGCATGCAAAAGTTGTATCAGTGTCTATTTATAAATATGCTGGCCGTGATGGCTGATTAGATCTCAATTCCTTCAAATAATTATTCCTTAAGTTTGAGCAAGCCTAATGGTTGGCTGTGGTGTATAAACAATTAAGCTGCTTGCATAGAATCTGTGTTTTAGTTGGGCCTGGAGTCCCTGAAGCCACCTTGGTCCCAGTTTCAGATCATCCTGCGTTTAAGCTCCTCCTACTTTCTTCTCCTCTAGATCTGCTAGGCCTGGTCTGCTACTTTCTCAGAAATCTCTCCTCGTGTTACTTTTGCGTTTTCAAATTCTGCCCTGTGTTGCCATGCAAACCATTCATCTCTCTTCTGTGACAGATGGAACAGGAATGTTGGGCCGAATCGCTTTCGCTTGGAGCAAGGGGTGAGTCCTTCTCTCCTCAGCTTGGATGGGGCTATCTATATTTCATTTATTGCTCACTTCCCCGCCCCCCTCCAGAATTCAAACTAGCATCTATGATTCATGCATCTTCCCTTAGTGACACTTTCACCACATCCTGGGAGGGGGGCTGAGACCTAGTGATGGGTCTAAATCAGTCCAGGAAATTTGCTGGATGATGATGATGATGATGATGATGATGATGATGATGATGATGATGGAAACTAACTAAAGAGAGAAGCAACCTAGAACTAAGGAGAAATTTCCTGACAGTCAGAACAATTGATCAGTGGAACAACCTGCCTCCAGAAGTGGTGAATGCTCCAACACTGGAAACTTTCAAGAAGAGATTGAGCAGCCATTTGTCTGAAATGGTATAGGGTTTCCTGCCTGAGCTGGGGGTTGGACTAGATGACCTCCAAGGTCCCT